TCTCTCTCTCTTCCTCTGTCTCCCTCTGTCTCTCTCTCTCTCTCTCCAATTATTAATATACCACTTATAAATTAATATATTACATGCACACAATGAGCGTTTGTTCTGTATATACGATTTTGGTTTAAATTTCAGAATTTCTTTCCTGATTTTCAGTTAATGTCTTTTATACCCAAATAAAATTATGAAAAAATGTTATGGAGCGTAAGCTACTAATATAACACTTTGGTGATTGAAGGAAAATGTCCAAAGTTTTAGAAATATTCCTATATTTGTGCTACATAAATAAATGATGCTCATTATATGATTTAAAGGTTATTGGATTTATTTTTCTTCAATAGGTGGCAACACTGAGGCAGAAAGGATAAGAGCAGATATGATGGCTTCGCAACTCTTTGACACGTTGATGAGCTTTGTCCGAGTCTGTCTTGCGACAAACGTTTTCAAAACTGACTACGTAAGTAGATTTATTTGATAGCCAGTCATTCCACTATGAATTGGATTTATGCGTGAGACAATGAGTTGTAGTTGAGCCATCTTATGTTGAAATAATAAATATGTTCTGGGCAACATATTTCTTAACGATGTCTTCTTTCGTCCACCGAATAGGCAGAGCATAATGAAAACGGACGGTTTACTAAACAGTAAGGACAAGATGCAGTTTTCTTTGATTTTCACCATTATTTAACAACGATACAATTTTCAAAAATTGAATCAATATTTTTTGTCTAATTTTAGTTTATTTTTTATTCTATTTTGTTTTCGTTTTCACTTTTTATTTATTTATTTCATAATTTTTTTTACATATAGAAATCTCTGAGGGAGACATTTTTGAAAGGCCTGCCAGACACTTTGAAGTCTTATTCAGACTTTCTAGGAGACAACTCATGGGTTGGGGGCAACAATGTAAGTACAAACTAGTCTATGGCATTTGCTTATTTTATATATTAGCAAGAGTGCTGTACATACACTGTTTTTACAGTAACACAAACGGAAAGTTAAGCAAATTAGGTTTTCGACTATGAAAACTTATTCCACTTAAAGCTTGGCTTGTTCTTTTGTGAAATTCCTTGTATATTCCAAGACCTAAAAATATCCACAACTTCAAATCACCCTCTTTATTCTGCAACCCTCCTTTTTTGTTACAGATCACATATGCAGACTTTAACATGTACGAGTTGTTGGACTGGTTCAGAATGTTTTCTCCCGGATGTCTGGACGGGTTCCCCAATCTTGCCACCTTCTGCAAGAATTTTGAGGTGAAAGCACGCGTTTTTTTCACACATCGACCTTTATTTTTACAGCATACAATGTATATTGTTTGTTATACATAGGTCTATATACGTTTACGTATTTTTTTATTTCCACCGTCAAAGGAGGTTATCTTTTCATAAGCATGATATTTTTAATGAATTAGATTTTACAAAAAGGTTCTTTATGATATGTAAACAACCCTTTCCCGGAAGCGTGGGTTCTTAGAGTGCTCTCTGGTCATTTTGTTTTAAAAGTTTTTTCACGCTTTGTCTGATTCCAAACAGAATTGATTAATTGAAACAGACGTCATTTGGAATTATTTTAGGCTCTTCCAGCCATTCAAAAATACATGGCATCCGCGCAGTTCTTGAAGACCCCAGTGTTTACCCCGATTGCTGACTGGACTGCATAGATACCACGTGACAGCCTTCTGACACCACGTGACACATGTAGGATTTCGGTTAATTTTGCTTTGATTTCATAAAAGAAGCAATGAAGTTGACCAGATTACAACAAATGCAGATACCAGCAAATTCAGGTTTGGAATCAGTACGAATGAGATCCAGGTGACTTTCCCAGTGTGGTCACGAAAAGCATGTCAACTAACTTCATATTGCCAGTTAAAAACAGAAGTTCAGAACAGACGCCTGATTCTTGATCGGATTACGTAGATACATAAGATCTTTTTATAGCATTAAAACTGAGAATTCATCTAAGTATTTGGTACAACTTTTTTAGTCATTCAAAGTTTTTTTCTAACGTATTCTTCTCTTTTTGCTGTATTATTATTACTATTTATTTTATTTTACTTTTTGTAGTTGAAGTAGTAATTGTTGCGAAAGGTGCACAAAAACCAGTGACAATGAAGAAGCGTGATTGCATTTTTAAAACAGAAACACATTCTGAATAACGCTTTCATTACCTCTGAGGACATGCTCTTTTTGTTTCTTTTATTTATTTATTTATATATTTATTTATTTGTTTGTTTGTTTGTTTATTTATTTATTCATTGTTTTGGGTGATTTTAGAGGACGACAAATAGCTATGCATAAAGTGAAAATATCTTTGCTAGTTCAGTCAAATACATGTAATTCGCTTATCAATCTAACAGGAATGTTGAAGATGCGATTAATCTGTGCCTACACACTGTACTACAACACTTAGATAACAAAAACTCGTATGCAAGAAATTTTATTTATTGGCTTCAGTTCAGCTTTTAACACAATTTGTGCCATAAAAACTATATTTGAAACTTTTAAACCATCTTAAGCTACCTGTTTTTATTTGTGACTGGATTTTAGACTTTCTCTTAGATAGAAGACAATCAGTTAAAGTCGACTCTTTTATCTCAAAAACAACAGTTTTAAATACTGGTGCACCACAGGGATGAGTCCTTTCACCCTGCCTTTACTCCCTTGATTGGACTAGTATAAGCCACGGGACTTTTCTTATGAAATTTGCGGTTGATACTACGCTTGTGGGGCTAGTTACTGATAATGACGAGAGCCTTTTAATTTGATCTCAAAACCAATTTCTTAATTTATCTGTTGTATAACTTTTACTCTGTATATCATCAAACTTGATTTCCGATTTTTATAATTGGCTAAATAAGCTCTTATCTTATATATGTTTAATTCTTATGTTGCAAAAAGAAGGTAAATAGAAAAAATTGAAGTGATCCAAGCATGAATCGTTTTTGTTGAAGTTACCTCAGGACAATTAAATGTTTAAAACATTAATTGACAGAAAAATGGTCTAAATAAACATCAAAATCGATATTTGGTCTGAATTAGCAATTTCAGATCACAAATTATCTGGTCTGGTCTCAATTATTATACAAATTACATCAAAATGGACTGACTCCGCTTTTAAGATAAAAACTTATTTGATTAGAAGTCAGTACGGTTATAGTCTTACTCATTGATAAGGACCATGTAAGATCGTTTGTGATCTGAAATAGCTGATTCAGACCATTTTAGGCGCACGCTTGGGTGCAGCCATAGAGCAGAGACCTGCATTGATGTTTACAAACGAGAGGTAATCATGTATATAACGGTTGCTGCAGAGGAATGATCCAGATAACTTCGAATAGCACGAGACCAGACCAACGCTATGTTTTTCCAAAGAGTTGCACACTCAATCGAAATGGTTTTAAAATTAAGAGAAAATCTACAGAAAGAAATTCATGCATATAAGATAGAAAATCAAAAACAATTTAGTGCGAGACAATTGCTCTAATGCATCGTTAATCAAAGTTTATCATGACTTTCATCATACTGGTAAGTTATTGGCATGTGGCACGTCAATGGGTTAAAATGAGGGTACACTTTCCAGTGGCCGCTCACTCAGCGAGACGGGAGACGGGAGCACAGACCCCACAATTTTACAAGGATCAATTCTCACTGAGACGGTACACCGACAGATTTCTCCATCATGCCAGCTCTACTAGGATATTGGAACATAAGAGGGGTAAGTCTGTCTACAGACCGTCCTCGGATTTTGTGCATGTAGAAAACTTTTTAATAAAAAAAATTCCGTGAGCAGCTCGATATTTGACATCGACGTGGTAAAGGTGCAATGATCTTTCACTCAATCGAAATTAATTTAATTTTCAGGGAGGTGGGGGGGGGGGGGGGGTTAGACATTAGGGAGGGTTTTAAAGGGGGGGGTC